CTCTGTCTTTCTGGTGAGCACACGTGCCCTATAGCAAAACCCTTTCAAAAAACAAAACAAAACAAAACAAAACAAAAAACAAAAAAAACCTGTCTCTCTCATTTTTCTCTCTTTCTTTGACGAAATACATAAACTAGAAAGAAAAAGAAGAGAGATAAGAAGGGGAAAGGAAAGGTGAGAAAACCATTACATTGTTTCAGTCACTAAATGTGAAATTAGCTTTCTGAAAGAAGAACTGACAGGAGGAAGGTAAGGGGGGATGTGTCAAAGCCAGAATCAACAATCCAGACAGCCATCAGGGTGGCTTCCAGCAAGACAGTGGCAGAGGTGCAGAAGGTGCGATGAGGAAGAACTAATGTCAAAGATGACTCCTCAACACCTATGGGTATCAGCAAATACTCACTGAGATAGGAATTCCTGGGGCAGTAGAAGTAGTCCGGGCAAATGTACTAAGTTCAACAGGCTGTAAGGTATCAGAGGTAAGTATTTATTGGAGTATTTTTTCTCCTCCATTCTCTCCCAGGGATTTTGGGCATGCATGCACATGTGCCCAGCATGATTTTTAAGCTACCAGATCTGGGACTCAAACTGTGGTTGGTTATCTGGGAGTCTAGTGTCTTAACCACCACATCATCTGCTGACCCTGGCAGGCATGTATTTAGATTAGGGGTCTGGAGATCATACACAAAGAAGTAGCAACATATATTTATTCAACAAAATATAATTTTTGCAGTTACAGAACTGTTAATTCATGTTTTCCTACCTGTTTACAAGATTAGCATGAAGGTATGTTAGGCAGATAGACAGCAAGTTTAGGATCTGAGTTGAGACTCTGCTTCCACCAGTTCCTCCTGGTTTCTCTGAGCAGTTTATTTAACTTTGCTGAGCTTGAGCTCCCTCTGCTGCTAGTTGGGGACATTATTTCTGTGATGGGTTTTTATCAGACTTGGAAAAGATAATGTGTGAGATGTCTAGCAGCTCAGATTTATTGAGACAGGAATCCTTGTCTCCATCTCAATCTCTGTCACTCTCTTTATCCCTCTTCTTTCGATGTGTTTTTTACCATCCATAGCTTCCCTCGTTTAACAAACACTAATGTCAACAAAGGAAATTTGCTTTCACGTGTTGTGTTCCTAATGTGACCATTTGATCTTCTTGTTGGGTTACTGATGTGTTTCAACATTGACTGGAAGGAAGTTGTAGATTTGGGGCCAGCAGGTGGCATAGTGGTTAAGGCATTGGATTCCCATATGGCTAACTACAGTTCGAGCCCCGGACCTGGTTGCTTGAAAATCATGCCGGCTGCATGTGTGTGCATGCCCAAAATCCCAGGAGGAGAGTGAAGGAGAAGGGACTGTGGCATAGCCACCTACCATGACTGGTGATTTCTCACTTTCACTCTCACTGTCTTTCTCTTTTTCTCTCCACTGTGTGCATGTGCCCTATGGCAACAAAACAAAACAACAAAAACAAACAAACAAAACAAACCTTAAAAAGGAGAATGTTGTGGATTGAAGAATGCCTCATATTTTTATTTGCCAAGCTTTGTGTCTGCTAATTCCAATCTTCTATCACCCTCACAAAAATCCTAACTACTCAATAACAGCAATTTCTCATGTGTCAATCAGTAGTTGCTTGGTTTCTGTCTAGCTGTATAAGGCAAAATGAGGAGAGGAAACTGCGAACGTGAACAGGCAGCTCCTCTGCAGTTAGGGATTGGCAGTACAGCTCAGATGGAAAGATGAAGTGAGAAAACTGAAATGGTGATAGGTCTATTCTAAAATGATTGACACTTTGCTCAGTCAAGCTGATGAGAAATGAAGTGAAGGACTGGGATAATAGATCTGAGAGGTGCAAAGAACAGCACCGCTTGGAGTGAAAGGGCAGAGAAGGACAAGAGAATGAATGCTAGACTCAGAGGTATGAATTTATTATTCGAGGTGAGTTCATCACAGCACTGGCTCTTAGGCTATAACCAAGAGAAGAGACTACTTAAATAACATGGAAGGGAAGATTATTAGGATATAAGAGAAGAATACTTTGAGAAAATGTTAACAAGGAATAAGTATCTCTATATGATATCAAAATATACTATAAAGTGTCACATGTAAAGCAAAGAAACATGTATGAAAAACAGAAATACATGAGTGGCAAACCATAGGGAGCCCGGAACTTAGCCCAGGTTGGGATGGGATTAATTATACATTGCTTAAACAGACAAAATATACAACCATATTTTAAAAATCTCCAAATATATCAAGGAGCTAAGTATTAGGAAAAGTACAGATGAGCTCGCTGAGAGGAAGAATTTGTTAACGACTTTAAAGTGATGATAACACTCTAAAAATTAAAGCAATATAAAATATAGAAAAAGTATAGCTAATTACACAAAATGCAAAATTTTTCTAAGCAAAAGGGTTAAAATAAAAACGCAAAAGAAAATTGGATAGCACGCCCAAAGAGAATACTTACATTTAATAAAGCAAGTGGTATAAATTAGTATAGCCCTAATGGGAAGTTAATGGCTATATAGTTAATGGCACTCTTCTAACCCCTAGGGATTTATCCTGGGGGTGGGGGGATGGAAGTATTCATCATAAGATGATCTGTAGCCATAAAATAAAAACAAGCCACAAACAACAAGAAGGGAATAGTTAAGGAAATTAGTACATAGTTGCTCGATTTGTAATACCATATAATAACATGAAAAATAGTTGAGATACTATTTTAAGGCAAGAGTTATAATTGTTTACATGGTTATGGACAAACACTAACATAATATATCAAGAAGTTAAAGGAACTCTTTTTTAAAAAAATATCTTTAAAATTTTAATTTAATCATTTTATTGCCAGAGGGCACATATGTGCTCCAAAGAGACACAAAGAGGGAGAAAGAACTCCTCAAGAGGGCGTGGTCATGGTGCAATCGCTTCTCCACTTCTCCATCCTGTCAGGATTTGGGGCCCACACACATGTGACTGGCAGACCCCTCAAGCAGTTGGCTAAGTGGGATCCGACACCCTTCACTAGATCACAGGGCCTGTTCAAAGCAATTCTTGAGTGAGTTAGAATTATTTTTCCTGCAATTCATTTAAAAACATAAATATTGTGTTATAACTATGGAAGTACAGAAATGAAGCAGAAGGCATAGACAAGAAAGGAAGCATAAGATGTACTCCAGGTCTTACTGAAACCAGAACGGTAAGTCATCCAGGCTAAAGGTGCAGGCTGAAAAATTTCTAGCTGGATCTGAGGCCCAAAGACTATTTCCTTATCACTTTAATTCCCTAACTGACACTAAAGTTAACTTGTGTTACTCACAGGAAGTAGGTTTGCTTAGATGACTGACTTAATTGCACCAGATGTGTCCCCTCCCTTATGCATCGCCCCTCCTAGTAACTACATGCCACCATCATTTTCTAGGCAATCGTAATCGTGGACGATCAAACCTAAGCTTCTTTAGTGTATAAAATCTGGTATTTTCAAAGATTTAACAACAACAACAACAAAAAACTTGTTGACTCTCCCTGGAGCAAAATGGACTCACAGCATTGTACCCATAAAGGCCAGTTCCATTTGTACATCATTTTCTCTGAGACCAGACAGAGCGAGCCCTCTCTGTCTTTGTGTCTGTTCTTCACTTTAATTACTTTCTCCAGTATACAACTTCTGGATCTTTCTGATTAGTGGAACGAGTTCTAGAATACCACAACTCAGTAGAGTAACTATTGGTGACCATTTGGTGCATAGCTGAGAACAGCTGTAAGAGAGGAGTTTGAGTGTTCACAACGCAGGGTAATGACGAATGGCGGAGACAGTGGATATGCTTACTGCCCTGATCCGATTATTACACGTCGTACCCATGAATTAAAAACCACCTGTATCCCATAATATGCACAACTATAATAGTAATAATAATGAGAATGATAAAAGGAGATGAGAACTAGACCCAAGAGAAAGGCGTAATGGTGAGAAATAGTATAAGACACTGTCTATAAAATAAGGCACTGGAAGGAGAAGAGGAAAAAATCAGGAAGGCTTCAAAGGAGGTAAGGGGTTTGTAAAAAACAAAACAAAACAAAACAAAACAAACAAACACACAAAAAACAGCTTTAGGGTCCAAGGAAACTGAAAATTGAAGAAGGGACTTTGAATAAGTGTTGTTCTTGGTTTTGAATCTGATAGAGCAGAATTTAAGTGTCCTCACACCACCCTCCAAACCCACACACACGAATTGTAACTATAGGTGGTGATGGACATGTTAATTTGATTGCAGTAATCATTACACAATGTATACATGTAAATAAAATCATCCCATCATACACCGTGACTGGAAAGCTTTTTAAATTAGTTTAGTGGCTGAACTGGCCTTCTTTGATATGTCATCAATTAATTTCATAAAAGAAGCCACATGACATCACAGAATGTAAAAGCACCCTCCTCCTCTCCCCAGGGATCAATACTGGGACATTCTCCTGCCACTTTGTAAAGGTTCCTGGACCATTCAGTGCCTCTGATCCTGAGATGAAGCTGTAAAAGAGCAAGGCCATGTTCAATGGCTCAGAGGAATCTGAGCTGAGATTTCTGATGGGTGTTTCTGCCAAGGAAGGGAAGTGAAAGTAGAACCTTCAGTATCAGAGTTCTATGATGAAAGATGCCAATGAGTACAGTATTTCCAGAGAGAGAGAGAGACTATGCCATGTGAAAATTCCTCTCTGCAGTAAAACAATGAGAGGTAAGATGTCAGGCAGTACTTCTGTCAGATTTTTCGGGGTATTAGTTCCCTCCAGGGGTAACGTATAAAACATCTATAGAGTGGGTAAGTCCTAATCATTCTGAGCTAACCAGACATTAACCCTTTAGTTGCTGGAAGGAGAGATGGAAGTGATGGTGACAGGTGAGGGAGCACTGCGTAGGGGGTGGCTTAGGGCAGTGAACATTGATTAGCTAACTGGAAAAATTTTAATATTTTACAAAAGTATGGCCCTTTCAGTACTTACTGTATCAGCGTTGGTTCTTCCCTCTTTCCGTCTTCCCCTTGGTAGCATAGCTTCTGGTTTGTTTCACTTTGTCCTCTCTAGGAGAGAGCATGGTTCCCTCCCACTGTGTTCATGGGTTACTTCATGCACTTCGCGTCCTGAATGTACTGGTGCTGTTGGTGACTGGGATCCTATGGATAGAATGAGGGCAAGTGGGAAGCGATGCAATAACAAAGTCATATTTTCCATTGTCCATAAAGCCAAGGCCTGTGCTTCTCGTGGGCAGGAAGCCATGACAGCATAGCATCAGTATGGACATTCCAAATGGAATAAGCATTTTCTATGTTTTTTTTTTTTTAATTTTCCAGAGGGTGTGTGCACTCACTAGAGAGAGAAATAAAGGGAAAGTGAGAAAGCACACCTTATAGGGATGGCGATATCGCAATCCCTTCTCCTCCATTTCTCCTCTCAGGATTTTAGGCATGCATGCACAGCCACCAAGTCTGGGATTTGAACTGCACAGCAGGCCATATATGATCCAGCTGCCTTAATGACCATGCCATTGGTTGACCTGGAAAAGAGTATTTTCTATTACAAGTATATATGGTCAGTCATCAGATGGGCCCTCTCATAAACCACCACCTATCTGGACCACCAGCTGCAGGTCATCATCAATTCTAGTCCAACAAGATTGACCTAGAAAGTTCACCACTTACCTTTCTCCACATGGTATAGCCTAGGCAGGCAGCCCAAGTGTCAAAGCAAACTCCTTCCTGATGTGCTATCTGTCCTGGCAAGATTGGCAATGATTGGGAGGTTCTGAAGTCAGACTATCTGGGATGGAATGTTGGCTCCCTCACTCATTTTGAGTGCTTTTTGGTTGTTTCATTACTTTCAGTCAACAGGGTTATTTTGGAGACTAAGTGAGTTAGTGGGGGGGGGGGCCTTCAAAAAGTTCGTGGAAAGCATACACTATGAAAAAACCATGAATGGATTTCAATTTTTTTTCTGCACCAAAAGAAACTTGTACTTTAATTCTATTTTTCCCTGAAATTTCTGCAGTTTCCTTCTGTTGGTTATGAGCCCACAATGGTGCCTGTGCATAGTGAGGACAAGTGAAGAGATTTTTATTACTATCATCATGTTCCTTCTTTTCCCATACTGCAGTTGCTGACACTAGCTTGACTCCTGTACCTCAATCCTATTTCTTATTCATACTCATGTCCAGATTTTGAAAAAAGTTTACTTTGTGCTAAGACACTCTTCTGATGCATACATACTTTTTATTTTTTAAAGTTTTAGCCACAGGGCACATGTGCCCACCAGAGAGAGAGACAGAGAAAGACAGTGAGAGAGAAAGTGAGAAATTATCCCTTAGGGGGAACAGCCACGCCACAATCCCTTCTCCTCCTGGGATTTTGGGCACACATGCTCATGCACCCAGCGTGATTTTCTAGCTGCTAGCTTTGGGAATCAAACTACGGCCAGCCATGCGGGAGTCCAGCACCTTAACCACCATTTGCTGCCCCATGCATACTTCCGATAAACAAAAATACTATGGTCTGCTCTCTAAGATTTTGACATACTCTTTAGTGGAGTTTGTCCATACCACCTTTTTCCTCAATTCCCCATCATCCCTGAGATGGATAATCGGGGGTGGCAATAGTTTAGTCTTTGCTTTTTATTTTTGATGACAGAAATATTGTGATAGACAGGTAGCTAGTAATGAGTGGCAGTCCTAAGAAAATAGCAGAAGGACACATGCCACATCGATCACAATTTATCAGGAGTTACAGCCAGATCCTCCATGAAAATGCCTTCTCCCTACCCTGCTCCTGGTGTCAGAGAGGCAAGACAAATCCCATTTTTCTTTCTTGATAACTAAGGAAGACACAAAGGGATGATTGTAAATTTCCTGCTTATCATTCCTCATAAATACAAAAAGACTCAGACATTTTGGTCAACATCCTGATTTTCACTGGGGCAATAGCCTAATTGAGCAGTTCATCCTAATTAGGATATTCCTGTCATCATGGCTCACACTGGGCACGCCCGTTAGGTAATCAAATCCATCAAATACTTCACCTGTGAGAGAGATGCACAACTGCAGGAAAAAGCCGTCAAGTTCAGACAAAGAACATAGCATATTCATGATCACCTCTAGTAATAGAAATAACACCTAACCCAGTTCCAAATGCAGTTGCTCCCTAGCAACCTGCCTGCCCCAAAGTCTTTTGGGTGTACTTCTTTTCTAAAACTTTTCTTTCCTATTAAATTCTCTTTCTCCCTCCTTTTATTGTGGTTGTGGCTTTATTTTGCGCCTAGGGACAGGTCTCTAATTTTAGTGATCTGGACCCAAAGGACCAATGATTTTTCACAATGCAGCTCAGCACTTTCCCATCCTACGACATTATCACTTACTCGGTAGGATTATACATATCCTCCAAATTCCCAAGTACTTGGATTACTTGTCTGATGTAGAATCCTATTCTTCCAGAGAGAAAATGTTTGATTTGAAGAGTTGGACCTACATACAGAAAGGCTTTTTATACTTGAGGCTGTCATGGACTCCACATTCAGAGGGCTGCAGAATGCTGAGAATCAGGATGGGAGTCAAGGTTATTTAATCAAAGAGAGGGGACGATGGGATGGTGAACCAATAAGATACAAACCTGTAACCACAGATCCAGATTGATTCCAGGAATAAATCTTGGAATCTAGACTAAGAAGAGAAAAAGAATGAACAAACCAGCAAATCAAGGATATGCAGGCGCGAATGCCTGAACAGGTACAGTTCCCTGTGGCTGACTTTCGTGTGACAGTTGTAGAGTGGTCTACAGTTGTATAGCTGCCCTTGAAGGTCAGGGAACAACTGAAGTGGATAGCAGTTTGAGAGGAGTTAAACCTGATATTCCCAAACCCAGCTTTAGATATGCACCCATGATTGCATTCCAAAAGGCCAAAACAAACATCGGAATCTGACAAATGCCACAGGAGTGTTTCTGGCTAAAGTCATCAGTAGGTGCTACAAACACGAGGGGAGAGAGAATGATGAGAAAAGGGATATTTGCATAGTTCCAATGTATCTTCCTACAAGACACTCAATAATCTCAAAGGAAAATATATAGCCAATCTTATGATGGAGAAACCTGCAAACACTACCTTAATCAAGAGATGAAGATTTAAATTACTAGTACTGAGCAACACAGATGCCGTATGTCTTCTGATATGATGCATTTAAAAGGCATAAAAGGTATGTGCATGAACGAGACCGAGGAGGCACCACGACTAACTGCACCGTGTTGTCCTGGACTGGATCTGAACCAGGTAAGAGGACATTAGTGGGTCACTGGAATTTGAGCAAGGTATATAGATGCATTCCAAGTGTTTTGTCAATCTAAGTTCCTGATTTTGATAATTATACAACAGTTATGTAGGTAGTGACATTGGGAAGGGAGAAAGATATATGAGAAACCTTTGTAGTAATTTTGCAACTTTTTTTATAAGTCTGTAATTACTTAAAGATATAAAGTTAGAAAATTTAAAATAATCTTTAAAAAAAACCCAGAAATGTTCAACAACACTGGAAGAAATAGAAAATGATTGCTGGACATACAACAGTTATGTAATGAAGGTGGTGGTGGAAGCCTCCATCCACTGCTGTGCCAAAGAATAAGGCTGAGAAACTCAATCAGCGGCACATAGAAACTGTCCTGAAATCAAATAGTTTGATTGATCTGGGAAGAAATAGGAAAAGTATCGACCTGCGTAGAAAGGTCTCATAGGTATCCAGCCCAGCCTCCTCCTAGGATGAAGATGTAGTAGCTAGCGTAAGGAGTCATTAGGAAGACATCACATGTGGAGAGTCAGGCTCCAGAAGCAGAGGAGTGGGACCTCCTTTTACATGATGGTGTGGAGCAGCTAGTCCATTCCGACTGCCTGCATGCTGGCTGCTTTCCCATGTGAGCACAGTAAACCTCGACCTTGTTTAAGCGACAGTTATTTTGAAATTTTTTCCTATTAGCGGCAGCTGATCCCACCTCTGTTGCCTTCCTAGCCATGCTCTTTAAAGATACAGGTTCTGGGGAGGACCCTGTGGCATGGTGGTTAAGGGAATTGGATCCCACATGACTGACCACGCCATTTGAATCCTGGGCCTGGCCACTTGAAAAACAAGATGGGAACATGTGTGTGTATGCCCCAAATCCCCACAGGATGAAGAAATGGAGAAGGGTGTGGCTACACTCAAATGCGGTTGGGGGAGGAGTGCTCTTTTCCTCTTTTTCTCTCTGGCCAGTACATGTGCCTTAGGAAAAAAAAAAACAGATATGGGCTCTCACTGGATCAGAAAACTATGTTCATGTTCCCTCCACCACTCAAGAATGTCTTCCTGAGTGGCCAGATACTCGTGCATACCCCCTTCTCTGAGTACACCAGCACCACTCCCGTCCGTATCATGTCAACACCCCTCATCCCCAGAGATCATGAATAGGAGGTGGCATATTTGCTTCTGGGCCTTTACTATCCAGTTTACTCTATCAAAGACATTCTCTACTCTACCTCTTCACCAGTCCTATCTCTGCTTAAATATCATTGCCTCTAAAAAGGATTCACTGACTTTGGGTTCGATGCCAGTCCAGTATGTTAATATCATAATTTGGCCTTATCTTCCCACAGCATCTACCATATTGCATTATAATTACTTGTTCATTTATCTGGCTATTCCTCTGGACCAAGAGGCAGGAACAGTGAATCCCTAGAACCTAATGGAATATCTAGAATAGAGTATGATTTCAATAACTAGTTGATGAATGGTGAATGGCAACGTGTATTAATCATGACTTATTCCCAGGGGCATAATATTGTATGTCTAATACACCACTAGCTTTCTCAAGCTACAGACATTGTCAGCTTTGGTGAGACCACCCAGACCCTGCTGAGCCCAGCTGCAGCACTGTTACATAGAAACGAATTTGCTGGACTTTATCCCAAAGTATGGGTGGGAGCAAGAACAGGGAAGACCTTCCTGTGAGCCACTGATGTCATTATTCTCAGGCTCTCTACTTCTGTTACCCACTAGAACAAGTAAATCAAGTTATACATGCTGTGGTCTCCAATTCAAGTTGCGAGAATATAAAAAAGCAAAGGTTCCACATCAAAAATTGAAACAAGAAAAAGAATGATGCTTTAA